AGTGAGTAGTTGTACTAGGCGAAGTGGCGAAGTAGGGTATCCAATGGCCGCCCTTCTCCGACTATAATGTTCTTACTTGTTTAAGCAACATCTTTCTTCTTTGTTTTGTGTTTGTACTAACTGAGTAGTGTAGTGAAATAGTGAAAAGTTTGTCTATTTTTCAAGCCCGGACTTAATAAATCGATTCAAGTCGTCTAACGCTAATTGCTGCGGGCTGCTCAAAGATTCATAGACTGTGTCTTCTATATGCGCTTTCACCGGCACGGAACAAAGCAATCAGGCATATGTATGTGTTCAATGAATCTAAAAGTATTTCTGATGTGTTTTTCTTAAGCGAAAACGTAAACGAAATGATAAAATTAATATACTCCCATCTTCTAGTGGTACGACTGGCATGAAAATACAGAATTTTTTTTTTTTTTTTTGTTTACTATTATGTACGCGGTTTATGTGTAACTATACAATAATATTTAAGTAAATTTATTACAATAAATAAATAAGTAAATGATGGCTTAAATAAGTTAAATTGATAAGATGAACACTTAAAACAAAAATGTATATATTTTAACAATTTTTAATATAACTCTTATGCGCATATATGTATATATGTATGGATTTATTTACTTACGCTATTCATATAATATAATATAATGCAAAAGATGTACATATTTGCTTATTTGCGCCGATAATTTAAAACGTTATAGCACATTATTCAATCTGCGTTTAATTCGTAAGCCGGATCAAGTTAGAGGTTGTAAGCCTTAGCAGAAACTAAAATTAGTTTCAATTAGCAAAATATTGTCACGAGTTTTCGCTAAAAAATTGACGATTTAAGTATTTCTTTAAACTTGGTAATGAAAATTCTCCACAACTTTGCTGCTTATAGCGGTTTCATAAGAACAAGAAAAAAAAAAAAAAAAAAAAAAAAATTTAATTTTTTTTAATTTACAGGCCATTTTTTTCTTTTTTTTTTTTTTTTTCGTTTTTTTTTTTTTTTTTGTTGTTTTTTGGTTATCGCATAACAAATAAAGTTTAAGAAAAGTAGACTTTAGTTTTATGCTTTACGTTGCAGCGGACCGTTCTTTGTGTTACCTCGATGCCTCGATGAATATGTTGCGCAATTGACTTATTCCTTCTTTCATGTTCTTTCAATTTGGCCCATATCAGACGACATGTGAATTTTCTAACCTAAGATAATAGGGATTTGTACTGCTTAATTCTGAATATTCAATATCATTCGCCATTACTTCGCTTAAGGGATCTTCTTTCAACATGCTAAGACACGTACGTTTTAAAGTAATCGTTTCTGATTCCGAAATTTGATTGGAAATATGAATTTAAAAGTCCCCATTTTAAAAGATGTGCAATCGCGCAACTATAAAATTTTGATTTATTCGGTTATAAAATGGGATGAGTTATGACGCGAACTTCCTACAATGACAATAGTATGCAAGCAGTAAAACTGGTATTTCTCTTGGGACGGACCTTACAAATCTTATAATTAGGGTGTTCGCCAGAATTTTATTCTCTGCAATCACTTTATCGAGCCGTTAAAGACCCTGTTTTGGACTAATATTTTATACAGCTCTCATAAATGATCGTTCATGATGTTCATATAATTTACATAGTTCGCATAGAGTTTGAGTCTCTTTTTCTCTTTAGCCAGTAACTAATACATTACTGAAGACGTTATCGACGTTTCGATTTGATTTGTCCCAATAAGGTTATGTTTCATGAGGGCAGTATCATCATATTAAATATGGTAAGAAGTAAGTTCAAGTAGTTTCTTTGCTTATCGCATAGATCAATATCATTTTTGGCCTTTTTATAGGTAGCTTGACCTTTTGCAAGACATTTATTATTTCATTAATTTTCACTATGCTTGGTAAAGATAATGAAAGGTCGTGGTTGTGCATATGATAACACTTTTAGAAAACATACGATTTTAGGGATTCTTGAATAAATCACACTATAATGGTTCTTGAGTGCACCATGTCTTATGTAAACTTATTATTATGTTAGGATAAGGCTTTGCTCTGAGCTCCTAAATCAAAGAATTTCGTGCAATGTTTTCATTAAGACGAAAACATTGCATAAGAAAGCTAATAGGACAGCGGGTTTCAGCGAACTATTGTTTCTCAAGGGTAACAGCTGTTATGCTTACTATACATTAGGCATATTAAAGATTGGTGGCTCAAACTATTACCTCTTTTCCAGTTTTGAAGCTGTAAAAAGAAAAATTACAATTTTTACTTTACGCATTCATAGACGAGCAAGAGATGAGGATAAATTGTAAATAAGTCCGTCTGACATTTAATAGGACTCATTCATTGATTTCAATTAAAAAGCGGTACGAAAGAAGGGGATTAAAGGGGATTACCAATCAAAGCAAATATTCGTTTTAATTGACTGGCCATCCTGGATGTAAGCGATGTAAAATCGGACCTTCCAACTGAGATGGAAATGCAAAATTTCATGTTTGTACGGTTTGTTCTCTATTTTCTTTTTCAATATCAAGACTGTTTCATATTATTTTCTTTGTCTTTTACCACACACACACACACACACACACACGCATATATGTATATATATATAACAAAATTACATAAAAAGGAAAATCCAATTTTAAAAACAAAATGTTAAATGTATAGCATTGTTTCGGACGGAGGATATGGAACTTCCCTGTGTAATCCATACCATTTGTGACAACACCTACAAGGACTTAAAATAAATCCAATATTTTTACTATACCGATTGGTGTAGAATCACCTTCTGAACCGTTTTGAGCTTGCCAGCCTGTCTACCCGCCTGTATATCTTGTCTTTTCGTGTTCAGCCTACCCGTCACAATTTTTGAGATATTTAGATGAGCTTTGTCACATGTTCACACACACGTTTTACCTCACGGGCGAACGCTACTGAAAATGCTTCGGATCCGATATTTATTGTTAATGTTATGCCGTGGTCCACCATAGTGCTTTTACTTGTTTCCAATCTGTTTGAGACGTAAATTTTTGAATTTTAAGAAGCAGCTTCACGACTGCTCAGAAGATTAATGTTTTCCCCTAAAATTTATATGCGGACTAGCTTTTAGGCTATGACACACACACACACACACATATATATATATAGCAAAGCAAACACGCAAGCATACATAGAACAATGGGGAAAAGATTATCTAATATGTAAGAGGCGGACCAGATACCAGAATTGTGAGGCCAAAGTGACTTTGCACCGTTATCAGTATTTCTCACATCATACATGCTGGGCTGGGAATAATGATATAAATGAAAGAAAGAAAAGTTATAATAATAAGTCACATACACATGTCTCTTGTTGATCTGCCGCTGTGTTCTCTTTGTGTTAAAAGATGCCTTTTTATTTTTGTTAGAAATTTTGTAAAACTTAATAAATAATTCAATAATCAAAATGTGTGTGTGTATGCGCACCTTGGAAGGTATTCATGTGTATTTGTTTTTCGACATTTTTTGTATTCTTTCATTCTTTAAACACATCTCACATAATATATGCGTCCGTTTTTTTAATTGTAAACATTATTGTGATGTTCAGTTCTTGAATTGAAAATATGCACATATCTCTACCTATATGTTATATAGATATGGCAATAATTGTTTTTTATATATTTATTCTACTTAGTATGTTTTAATAGTTGTTGTGCTACCCTAACATTAAATTAAATATTATTGTTTTTATTATTTTCATTGGATTTTTGGGTATAAAAGTGGATGTGTGTGTATCTGTTTATGAACGAATTGCTTAAAACTATTTTATGTGTATATACATATGTACATGCATATGTACATACACATCTATACGCGGTGCATATGTACGCAACTTCTATATCAAGTCCATTCATCGTCTGCAATGGCATTTGAATATAATATATAAAAGCTGCACATACATGCATGCACATACGTGTTCTTTAAAATATGCCTCACATACGTATATGCACTATTTTCAGTATTGTATTCTTTCTCTTTCTTCCTGTTCTAATTAGATGATACAAATTGTTAGAAAAGAAGTCAGCATAACTTTGCACACTTTTTCTTCTATATGTGATGTTTTTTTTTGTTTTGTTTTTTTTTTGTTTTTTGTGACAACTGAAAATAGCGCAGTTAAAGAATTTTACCTGAGATAACCGCATTTCAATACTTATACGATTTCGACAAACGCAAATAGCATATTGAACGACTTACTGTTTTTGGTTTCGTCAAAGTTGTGTATCACTGGAGAAGTGTAGTCAAGAAATTTGCATTTCGCGTGTATTTTTAAGTATCTGCATCGCCTCTGGCTGTCATGTATTCGGTAAATTACGTTCGACTGTGGTGACTGTGGCGGCACTACGATAATTTTGGGTTGTCGATTAGACACTATTTCGAGAAAGCTTTACAATTGGCTAATTGAGAAATAGTGTTGTTTGAGTTGCTTTTACACATGGGCTCTCTTTTCCGAGTGAATTTATTAGTTGAGGCGGAGACAGCGACTGGTACCGATGCCGAGGTGGTCATAAACGATGTTGTAGCTTCAGTGGCGAATATCGTAGGTGAAAATGAGAAAGACTGCGGCATGATTGTATATTGCACTGATGGTGACGATGCGCTCATTGAGAAGGACGATGTGGTCGACATTTGCGGTAACGGTGTTGGTTGTTGCACGGTAGTTGAAGTAAGAAGTAGTTGGGACGACGATGTTGACTCCGGTGAATTTGTGTTGGTTTCAGCATCTTCAGCAATAACAGTTTCTATAATTCGTAACGATTCTGGTGGTCCTCGCTTGGGAATAATGAAACTGTTTAGAGGCCTCTCGTACGTTCGCAATATTGTTGGCTGCCTTTGCTGTTGATTTTGCAAGTAATCCGAAACGTTGCTAAGAGCGATGTTACTAACCGACGGTGCTACTGTTGATAGCGTAATTGCGCTCTTGATGTTGAGATGGGGAAGTGCATGAGGCTTTTGTGTGTTGAGGGCATTCATTTCGATATCAACTGCGGAACGGTGTTCTTCTATTCAGCTGCCATACTTATTGGAAGAGGTGTAATTATTAACTGCAGATCCGTTAGACGACATATGAGTGTCAGGCACTAAATGTGGAGTTCTACTAGATATAGGTGGCAATATAGGACTTGTTGGCCAATGGTATGTAGCAGCAACATTATTGGATGAGGGAACACTTCTATGCAAAAAGCAGTTTGGTCTTGATTAATATAGAATTATATACAACAACAACATTAAACAAGATCACAACATTTCTTATTTTTTTGTTATATCTTTTGTTTTGTTTCTTTAAATTATTTTACACTGAATTAAGCATGCTTAGTGAGAGAAAAGAAGAAAGATGTTAAAAGAGAGAAAGCCACACAGAAAGATTGAAAAAGAGAAAAATTCAATGATCGTTATATGACGGAAATGCATAAATGAATACGTAAACGTGTTATGGATTTCTGAATAAACAAAAGAAATATATATGTACATATCCTTTCGTGGTGGTTCTTTGCAAAAAAGTATAGTGCGCCCGCCCTAAATTCTTTGCAAATTGACATTTCAAGTGCAACAACTTGTTGCTTACATTTTCCAGTACGATTACCTAACAGTGCGTAGTATCGCCGCTTGTTTGCACCTTGATTTTGTGAGAAAGCACTTATTTATAGACTTTTGCCTACAGTTTGGACACGACGATAGTCACTTGCTTTTATCTTAGCTTGACTTTCATGCTCGTGTTCGAATATTCATCGCTTTTAAGCATTTAAGATTTCTGATGTTTGCGCTTCAAGTCTTGGAAGCCCTATCTTGAGGTTTATTCTTAAGGGATCTTAGAATCGATTCGAGTATCGGTAATACATATGGGTAATAACTATCAAAATATTCTCAATAAATTTTTAGCCACTATTTACGCACATATTTAAAAGTGTACGTACATATTCAAAAGTGCTTGGTTCGATTCGAGCGCGCGATTTAATCGTTTAGGGGTCCTATTCATCTCTTACATAGCGATTGCAGCAAATTTTATTTTCAATATCTTGCAAGTTGGAGTGCGTTATTGCACACTTTTTCATTTTCATACGGGCTGTAATGCAATGGTGTCGACAAAGAAAACTAGCGAGATTTATGAAGATGTATTCAAGTCAACAAGATGGATCGTTGCTGCTGATTATGATCTCCGTGACAGGCCTCGAAATGGATGACCTGTCGCTTTTGAAAATAACGCCTTCAAATCTCTAGAGGGAGCTAATCGAAAATCAACTATATCTCTATAGGAACTATCGAGAAATCTTGGATCGACTTGGTCAACTATACGTAGACGCCTAGGCGGAATTGGAAAGGCAAACAGGCAAAGAATGCTGGTAAAGCATCAACTATCTGAGACAAGAATGAGAATATTTGTCAACCAATTTGCACTTTATTGCTACCCAGATTTCGTAGAGATACGTTTCTTAATAGCAAATGATAACATAAGATGTTCCAAGCTATAACTTTCTGAAAATTAAATCGTAATATGAATTTTCAAATCTAGCTTATTAAGGAGGCACCTTGCGTCATATTTTGCTTCACGACCTGTGGATTTCTATAAACCGGGGATTGAAAATTCGCACCATTTATAGCAGACTGTCCTTGATCATATGACGTGGATAGCAACATAAAAAGTTAAGAAATAAAGACTTGAATTAACAGCAAAGTTGATCTAAGATTTCAAAGTAATTGATTGCCTTAATGATTGATTACCAGCGATTGTTAACCGATTCAGAATGTTGTCGTTATGAAGAAGAAAATGAAATTAGGAAAAATCTTTTACACAGGAACAAATCTCCTTCTCTAATGGACGCAAAGCCTGTATGATTGCACTTACGCGTGCAGTTGAACTTAAATTTCAATCAAATCGAAGGAAGAGTTACTTAAGTGTCGACATTAATGACGCCAATAACATATGATTGAAACGTTATGATAACTGTAAAAGGGCGTGACGAATTTGTCTAGCAGAGATATTTACTAGATGTGTAAACATACAAGCGGAATTTGCGTAGAGACCGCACTAACACCTCGTGTAAAGGACATATGTGCCTGCAGTTGTGTTTTTTTCTTTTGTAGCTTGGACATCTGGCAACAAGCAGCAGTCGTAACATTGATACCCAACACTGCGAACAACACAGAATTGATTTCAACGGTTCGGTGTTCGAAAAACGAGCACGAACTATCAAAAAAGGTTATATCATGTGGTATTTTTCTAGGGCATTTGCTCATGCGTATGTCGGAACATTGAAGTTCCCGCCCATGCGGCTTACTCATTAAACGCGAGTTCTTCCGATTACCGCTTGTTTCTACATCTATGTACATCTATGGAACACGCATTCGCTGAAAATGATCCAACCAACAGTTTCCCTTAAAACAACAGCAATAGTTTTTTTGGCAAATTGTCAGACAAATGGGCAAAATATATAGCTAGCGATCGGCAATACTTCTAATAAAATATTTGTTATAATTTTGATGCAATAAGCATGTACGGTACATACAAAAATTTCGATCCTTAATGCGGTCAGCGTCGTGAAAATTGTACTTTCCTACGTATGGGCCAAACAAAGTTTTATCGGCAATGTTAAGCCGTGACTTTTGTTTGTCTGTAGAATGACAGATTTCGTCTGATTATTTGTTGCTTACTTTTTTATCTTAAAGTAAGATATATAGTATTTCAACACTTTAAAAGGCAAGGGGAAGTAGATTAGGTTCGCCCTGCGTTGGCTGAGCGAAATTGTTTTTACAACAGTTAAGAAGTTTTAGCGCTCGCGACTTTTTCTGAAATAATTTCAGAATTATTTCGAATCCTATTAACAAATCATCAAGATTAAGAGACCTTGCAGTATAGTAGAACAGAGTTTTCCTTGCATTTATTAAAGATCATGTGAAGGTTCGATGGATTCATTGGCAAGCAATCTGTTTAGTTCATGAGGTACGATTATTGCTTCTGATACAATTACAAAAATTTTAAAATGTTTTGTTACGGAAATCCCAATTCCAATTCATTCCAGCTAATTAATTTTTCCAAAAATAATAAATTCCCTTGACGGGGAAAGCCCAAGTACTTATTCGCGCCGCGTCATGCAGCTGCGGGCCGACGAAAAAGATTGGCAGGAAGGCAGGTTAGCGGACTAAAAATGAAGCCATGAACTTAGGTAATAGTAATATGCTTGTCAAAATTTATATAACTAGAATATTTGCGGAAGGTAGAATTAGTCAGACAAGAACATTTGAGTCGAAAAAGAAGGTTAGAGTTGAGAAGTCAATAATATTGCCAAAGCAAAGTGTAAATAGTCCTATCCTTAAACAAATTGATTATGAACAGAAGAGTCTTGCAGTGAAAACGTGCATATGCATTTCTCTTAGAAAAACCACTATCTAGCGATACGAATCGTATCCGAGAAAAGCGAATTTCGTAACAATATGAATGCCTGAGAGGGTCTTGCAAAACATGAGCTGGATTGATGACCAAGCATGTCATTGCCAGTTTAATTATCTGCCATCGTAGGCAATAGAGACGGTTTTCACTCAATGGAAACGGCGCAACGTTGTGTATATGTAGACGAGCAAGGTAAGAAAGTGCTGCAATGGCAAAGGGCCTGCAATCTTCTTAGAAAAAGTAAGTAAGCCTTAAACAAAAAATTTTTTGAGTATCAGGGAAAGGAGAGCGCCAGGCTTCTCACACATTCTTTAGATTGACATTTGTTGATTACTTTTCTGTTGCCATAATTCGATAAATTCTGCTTTAATGCATAAAACATTATTTAATAAGCTATGTTACGGATAACTTATATATAGCCATCATCTCTATGATCTTTAGATAGTACCAAGTTTCCAACGAAATGGATCAAAGTTTATTGACATTTCGAGCATTAGTTGAGAAATAACAGTTGTTTTCGTGATGCTGCCTACGAAACGCAGCTTTTTCCAATGTTCTACAAAAAAAGGAAGCTTCAGTAAACCAACATCAATGATGTGTTACGTTGTTGTGTAGTGGGTATGATGTGTATATCAAAAATTGGCACAGATTTGCTTACATTTGAATGATTAATAAAAACATAGTTACCAACTGGTGATCTTTTCTTCCGTCCCAAAAAACCACAAATTAGCTTTTTTCGCAATAGACGAGCTTCTCTTCATGAGAGACCCTATATATACATGGTGCGATCGAAAAAATAGATGTATGTGATCAAAATTCCTTATACTTGGCTTGCTAAGGACAAATTCTTATTGTAAAATATCTTGTTTAGACCGTTTGGGCTTATAAAGCCTTCTTTTTCATTAGAATCCCTATATGAGTTGAAATCAAATATGTGGACCCCCGATAAAGTTAATTTTAATGTCAAATTATTATTATTGATAGTTTTCATCAAGAATTATCGAAAATTAGGCCTTTTTACCTTTTTAATTTCTGTAGGAACGTTGACATGGCAAGGAGATTAAACAATTGCTCCATCCGATCCAAAGTTTTCACACCACTTTACAATGCCAAAATACTATTGATAAGCGACTTTTGTCGCGAAATTCAAAAAATTACAATGTTTTGTCAATATAAGGCGTGAGTTGGGGAGCGGTTGAAAGTATCCAAACCATTTTTGATAAGTTTCGTCCTTATGCCAAACCACATTAGTGGACCAAACCTCTTCAAAATATATCGAAAATCACGACCACGACGGTTGAATGTGAGAATACGGGGACAGATTTCAGGCGGACAGATAGAGCTTAGATCGATTCAGAAAATGAATTTCGATTACAGCTGGTCTATCTTAAGTCCTTCTGGGTGTCACAACCGTCCGCGCAATTTTTTTATATTTGTACCACAAATGGTGGGAAGCATAGAGACACCTGATTAAATACAGGATTAGTAGAATGTCAAAATGTTAAATGTTCGCCTGTTCAAATCTCATTATGATGGAGCATACGTGATCACATCTATAGTCGGACGGTCGGTCGGTAAAAACGTAACGCTCCCAGTTGAGTCTCCACCCACTATGCTGCGGCATAGTCTCATATCTCTTTGTCTTTTCTCACTTCTTTTTGAACGTTACCATATTATACCTAGTGTGGCCATTGCCTGAGCGGTCATATTAAAAAAACGAACAATTCGTAATTTCAAAATGAAAGGACCCGAAAAATGTGCAAGAAAGAAACAATAGAGGGCAAGTTGAAGATGTTAGGAAAATAATAAAAAGAAAGAGTGTTTATAATATAATCCAATCCAGAATTAAATCAAAGCGGGCTAGCAGAAATTTTCAAAATATTCAGCTAAAAACGAAGCAATACACGTATAGGTCTACTATTTTTTTTTTTGGAACACGTCCATTTTGTTTTATCTGTACTTTGTACAACTATTTCTAGAAAATCCCGTCAATTTGACGAAAAGATTTTGTCAATCAACATAGCCGCAGAAATGAAGATAGGATGCTGAACTATAGCACAAACATGCCTTGATCGATTAACAATATCAGATTGAAAAATGGGCGTAATCTCTTTTTTTACACACCTACAGTGCAGAAGAAACTAGAAAAACCTAGGAAACAGCGAGAAATTTTTGAAATCTTCCTCTATAACTGCCAACCCAACGGTGAACATACTTCTGAGCAACTGCTATCTAAATAATCGACAGAACTACTTGCATGTCCAGGCAATATTAAATCGGTTCGCCATGGTTCGTGCAGGCAGCTTAGACCTCACAAATAACTTACACAGCCGCCCAGAATCAGTTCAATCTGTATCAATAATGACGAACTAAGTGTCAATGTTGAGTGTGACCCCATTTAGAGTGGCTATGGATTATCGTTGAAATTTACTGTTCGCAAACAAACAATATTTACTTATTTATAGCTTAAGTGACTAAAGTGAAAACGTAGTTTTTCTACAAATTTCATCCTTGACGACCTGATTTATATATGTATATACATAAATAATAATAATGATCAAGAATATAAAAGTACGAATATTAGAACATGGTGAAAGGAAAAAGTGAACATATAAATATGGTGTACGGATATGGAGACGTTAGAGTAGAGAAACATAAAGAACCTAAGAAGAGATATGAAAGCATAAATATAAAAATATGAAAGATGCGGGAATATTATATGAGACTGCAGTTGTGTGAATGCAAAAAGAAACTAAACTATAAAGATGTTAAGGTAAAACAATATATGTGAGAATATGAACAGTAAGAAGATTTCAATATGAGAATAAAATTATTACGATATGAAGAAATTAGTATTCAGATACGAAACCATGAAAAGGCGATTATTAAAATGCGTAGATTTATTGAGAATTACGAACGGCACAGTATTACACACGTTCGTTCACAACACAACACCGCTCCTATACACAGTCTATTCGTCCTATCGAAACTGTTATCCTTAAAAGCCGATACAAAAAGATTCAACGAACCATTGTATGATACTGACAATTACGCTACAATGACCAAGGGAAAGTGCTCAGTGATATTGCAAAAAAAAACAAAAAAAAAAAAAAGACTTAAGAATGCAATAGTCGGGCAAGACAGCAGATTAGATACACTACACCACTTCGCTTAATATGGCCATACCTCCAATTTCTTAAAAATACGCGACACATTACATTACATTACATTATTTTTAAGGAAATGCATAATTTTCTTGAAAGGCCTCATACTGGGTGATTCCATTTAAATTTAGCGAACAAAGATTTTATTATTTTCCATCATAAGCTTCTGTCAAAACAAATCATAAATTAGACTTTGCGCCATGCAAGGTTTTGCTTTCATAAGAGCCTGTATATACGACGTGGTCCGTAAATAGACCTACGTTGTCCAAATTTGGTGGGGTTAATTTTTATGCCGAATTATTATTATGACAGAATTTTTAGCAAAAAGTATAGAAAATGAGGCCTTTTTACCATATAAAGATTCAGTTTCTGTATGAATGGTTTTAGGGCAAAGCGCTTAAAGAATTGCCCTATCCGATCCAAAGTTTTCACACCAATTTAGAATGCCGAAATACTATCGCTATATGATTTTTAGCGCAAAATTCTAAAAGTTACAATCTTATTTCTTATAAGGACTTATCAAAATAAGACGTTATATGGGGAGTGGTCGAAAAAGTGGTCCGCTCCGAATCATTTTTAAGAGCGTTTGTCCTTAGGCAGAAATACGTAATTGTACTAAGTTTTAAAAAATTAGTTCGAAAATTGCGATCTGTAGGGTGAACATAAAAATATTTGACCAAATATCAGATGGGCAGGCGGACAGACAAGTCCTGGTATGATAAAAGGTGGGCTTATGTCAACATGTTCTGGGTGCTACACACGTTCGCATACACTTGATATACCCTGTATCCTGTAGTTGTGTAAAGTACAAAAATGTAGAAACCTGGCTAAAAATAATATACAAAATAATATGATAATGTTAATATTAGGTATTTGCAAAAATTCTGATCACGTAAATATGATACGACTACTTGATTTGCTAACGTCAGCGCATTTGTTGTTTGTCTGTGTTTTGAAATCATCACACGATGAAGGGAACATTTGCATTTGGAATATTCAGACAGTCAGTAATTGTTGGTAAGTTTGTTTCTTGAAAGATTTCTCGGAAGAAAACAGTTATATGCAAAGTGAGAAAGACTGCCTCTCGATTTTTTAAAGCCGCTTATTATGTTAGGTTCAATTTTTTCAGAGAAAAAGTTTTCTGGGCCCCTATGCATAAATATAAGATTAGTCACTTATCACGATGCTGTAACTTTTAAAGATTTTTAAAAAAAATTCTAAGCGATTAGGTTGAAGTGCCCATTGCTTTTGACTTAAGCTTTTTACGAAATCCCATACAGCACTTCTTCGAAAACTAAAACTAAAGTTACAACAAACAAATTGAAATGAGTGGGGTTCGTATGAGAAAAATTTCTGAGTGTCATTAAGAGAAACAAGTACGAAAATTATATTTGGCTGTGGCTAATATAACCCTAAAAACGTTGAAACTTCCATACACTATACCATAAGGGGTGCGTGGCGGATGGAATTATCCATTGGATATTCTATATTTTTGAATTGCGCGCAAATAGCTTGAAATCAAAGCATCTGGCACTCAAACATGCTATATCTGAAAAGCAGTTGGAATGTGAGAAAGACAAGATGTTGCACTAGGACGCTGTAGATAATGATTGCTTCCGACTTTGAGTTTCAATTAGTCCAAGAAGAACCATGAAACCCGTTATGTTTATCGTCGTTAAACTCAAATTTTATGGGATTGATTGAAATTGTTAACGCGTACATCGTTTGTTGGACAAGAAACAGTGTAAGTTATATTTGCGGACGAAGAGACTAATAATTGATTAAGTATTAATATTTCTTAGGCACCCAACCGATCGCTTATGTATAGCAAAGAAGAAAAGAGGAGAGAGTAGGCGTAGTTCAGCGGTCGTGTGCTAAAATCAGTAATTATTATGCCTTGATCGACTGAGCAGTTACTGTCCCTGAGATTTGAACCCGCGAGCACTGATTTGACTGATTAAGTATGATTGACTTAAAATAATGTTAAATAGACAAAGCAATAAATAGTGCATTGGAGGCGGTCGTTTGAAAGCAATCATCTTGAACACCAACATGCAATTCACGCGTTCACCAAAGATAAATAATTTCTTGTCATGCACTGGAGGGCGACAGTAAAAAGATTTTCATTATAAAATATGCAGAATAGACATAAAAGACCGGCTTGTGATGAATAAATAAACATTTTTTGTCATCATTAGAGTTGCTAAGTTGAGACTCGTTCGAGACTTGTTCGTCCATTATTGGAGGTATTCGAATAGCTGATATTCAAGTTTAAAAATAGACACAATAGAGAGAACACGGACGCACAAACGTATCCACACATTAAGTGAAACAATCAAAATCTTCAAAATAATATAAAGTAAATTTCCAAAAATATAATTCAATCAACTGCGATAATTAAATGTTTGATCTAATAATTGCGAGAGTTACCTGAAGCGGAAATGTATCATCGCCCTATTGACTCTTCATCATGCATTAATTGGAAGCTATGCACGATCAGTCCAAGCGCGAATATAGCTTTCTTTCTTTTCTTTCTTATCTTTTTTCTCTTCTACTTTCTTGCATCTTTTCAAACAGGGACAAGCCAACAGTGGTGAATACTCAAAAACTATAGCATGCGTTCGTGTACAGCAGTTTAGAATCTATGCTATCATGGTAAAGTACGTAGTTGTACACTTGATCCATGATCATTTTATTGTGATAAATTTGCTTAAATTAATGTACTTCGCTTAATTTTTCACATTGTTTGATAAAAAGTCTCATCCTCACTTATCAAGATGGCGACTAAAAATTAATGGTGGACAGTTGAGGCATTGCTATACATAGCAATGAAAGCTTTTCAAATCGTTATCGGGGGGGGG